GCTTGGAAGGGTATTAAAGCCCCTGGATAGGGGCAGGGAGGTCCTTCAAAGAGACTTCTAAGCCCATCCAGGCATCCCCTGTGCAACTCAGGTCCCGGTCCCTCCTCTGCATTTCCTGAAGGGAGAACTACCCACGGTGAATTGAGAGCCTGAACCTCAGGGAGAGGTAGCCAGGGAGCCTGGGGAAGTCGCCGGGAAGGGCATGAGGGTGGGGGGAACCAGAGCAGGGAAGGCGGAGCAGCAGCTGTCGGGGAGTGGGGCCAAAGTGGTGGGAATGGTAGCACCCGTGGAGAAAGCTGGTCCTGAGGAGGAAAAACAAACAGAAAAATGACGAGGCTGGCTTCCTGATACTTCTTCAAATTGTTCATTCACCATTTCTTGCTTCCACTGGCTTCTCTGAAGAGGGGTGGAAATAGGTGGTAGAGGGGAAAGGGAGGGTTCAACTTCACCTCCACCTGAGAGATCCTCGCCCAACCAATAACAAACCCCTTTAGTCAGGCGTGCAGGGTCCTTTTTTTTTTATTTAATTAATTAAGAATACATGTTTGCCAGGGACTCAAGTAGAAAGAAAATGTTTTGGAAAAAGAGGATGACAATATATGTAAAGCTCTGTTTGACAAAATGGATATATGCATGGATTGTTTTTCTTTTTCCAATTTTTTTTTAAAATCTTTTTATTAGGGGCTCATACAACTCTTATCACAATCCATACATAGATTAATTGTGTAAAGCACATTTGTACCCTCATTGCCCTCGTCATTCTCAAAAAACATTTGCTCTCCACTTAAGTCCCTGGCATCGGCTCCTCATTTTCCCCCCTCCCTCCCCGCTCCCCCCATATGCATGGATTGTGATAACAGCTGTAAGAGCCCCCAATAAAATAAGATTTAAAAAAAGAATACACGTTTGATGAGTGGACCAACGAGTGAACAGGCCTTTACTGTACATTGGATGGAATTATGTGGCCCACAACACCTCCACAATGAAGCGTTAGGCAAATGTTGTACCAGGAAAACACCCAAGTGAGGCCAAGGGCAACTGTCTGCCCTCCAGTTCAACTGTGCAGCCGGGCCCTAGACACTCATTCCCATGCCTCTTCCTATAAACGTCCTATAAATCTGGGAGATAAAAGCGCCGCCGCCGGATTGCTAAAGGGAGTATAAGAGATAATGACCGCAATTAAAGCGTGGCACCGCTCCTCCCAATGCCGGCCCCCCTAAAGGGCACACACCACCGAGGGAGACCCCCAGGCCTGGCCTTCACTCTCCCACCTGGCTCTGGCCACTCAAGCTGCGACAGGGAAGGTCACTCAAAATCATGCATGCCCGCGCCCGCCACTCCCCAGGGTCCCCGGGCTTGCGATCCATCCAGGTGGGCGGGCTGGCGAGCAGGTGCCGGTGTCCTCGGCCGGGGGCGGGGCCCGAGAGGGTCCCCGGGGCCAGCTTGGCTGTCACGACTAGTGTGCAGGTGGCGGTGCACAGGC